GCCCACACATACACCTTGTACTCCACGCCCGGCCTCAGGCCCATCAGCTCCGTGCTGCTCCGATCCTTCCCCACTGGGACCTCCTTGGTCTCTCCATCGGCTGAGGTGTAGTGCACCATGTACCGGTCAATGACGGCCTGCACGGGGTCCCAGGACACGGTGGCTGAGTTCTCTGTCACCCGGTCTGTCACCAGGTTTTGGGGGCTGTCAATGTCTGAAAGGAAAATTGTGGAACAATAACCACTATTAACAGCCATCAAAGAGTCAGATCTTCTGTCCACTTCACTGCAGATGAGCTCACTTCCTATCCCTGTGGTTTCCCCTCTCATAAGCTCTCATTGCTATTTCTTTCATGGACCTGATCTCAACAGGTGGGCTTTTAACTCTTTAAAGAAACAGTGCAGGTAAAGGGAATGAGCTCTAAATCCAGGCTCAGAATAGCTGGTTCTCGTCTCAGCCCAGAGAGGAAGAGCAGAAGTTTGCAGGAGCCATGGGTTAGAGTCAGGGGACCAGGAATCTAGTCCCAGCTTTAAAATCTCAATCAGCTGTGGCCCTGGACAAGCTTCCCCCCTCTGGCTGGACCTCAGTGTCAACATCTATAAAATGTGATGTTTAAATCTATTTTGATACCATGAATGTCCCACAAATATAATTTCATAAAATGTTAACTACCTTTTGGACCTTATAGATATCACTGACTTCTCTATATTTGAGATTCCTCATTTATAAAAGTGAGATATTGATTGCTACCCTGTCCATCTCAAAACAAATTCCTCCAAGAACCAAGTAAATTAAGAGACAGCCCCCATTCACTGTTGATGACCTGCAAAGTGGTGCACAACTATTTGAGGAGATGGTTGATAGTTCTTTAAAACATAAAACAGAATTACCTTAAAACCCAGAAATTCTGCTGTTAAATGTATTCCAGGGGAAATAATAACATAAGACCACGTAAAAATGTATACATAAATATGTACAGCAGCAAAAGCTAAAAGGTGGGAACAATCCAAGTGCCCATCAATTGAAGAATGAATAAATAAAATATGGCAAAGCAATCTAATGAAGTTATTTGACAAATTAAAATTAAAAGTACTCCTGCATGCTACATGAGTGAACCATGAAAGTAACATGCTGAGTGAAAGAAATCAATCACAAAGGCCTTGTATTGTGTGATTCCATTGTTATGAAATGTCTAGAAGTAGCAAATATAGAGACACAAAGCCGTGGGTGTCCAGGAGTTGGCAGAGGAAGGGGCAGCATTTAGGGATTAGTGGAGGTGACCGCTAACAGGTATGAGATTTCTCTTAGGGGAGCTGAGAATGTCCTAAAATTAGAGGTGATGGCTACATGATTCTGTGAATATGCTTAATCTACTGAATTGTATGCTTTATAACAGGTAAATGATATATCAATAAAATGGTTATTAATAGATATGAAAGAGCTTTAAAAATTATGAATTGTTATCAAATATAAGGGCAAGCTTGGAATTCTAGATACTACGCACACATATAGTAGGATTCGAGAGAGAGGATTTATTCACTAAAAAGACAATAAGCATTCCTGTTTCACAGGGTTCACAAAAAAAGGGCATTTATCTAAAGAACTTGGTTCAAAGATCCTGATATGTATTGTTTCTATATATTTTCTCCCGCTCAGGAAGAAACATTTAGTGATTGATGACACAGGAAGTGTACAACTAAGGGAAGAGTGGGTGATGTGACCAATCATTATTAATCCTTACAAGACCAAGTGTGAGGTCAGATATGAAGTTCTTATTTTGAGAGACTGTGTTAAAGGAAAGAGTTGGTGTTTTCAGGATGTCAGAGATCCACCCTCTTGCTCCTACATAAATCAAATCTGCCAGTGTCAGAGAAGGCAAGCAAAAACTTGACAAATAATAAGTGCATCATGACAGGTATAACATAACCAAAGAATGATGTCCCTATAAAGATTACCTGTCAGGGCCTTGGTGTCAGCTTTCCTGCTCTCCCGGCTCCCCTTCTGCGCCCACACGTGCACCGTGTACTCCACGCCCGGCCTCAGGCCCGTCAGCTCCGTGCTGCTCCGATCCTTCCCCACCGGGACCTCCTTGGTCTCTCCATCAGCAGAGGTGTAGCGCATCATGTACTTGTCAATGACGGCCTGCACGGGGTCCCAAGATATGGTGGCCGTATTCTCTGTCACCCGGTCTGTCACCAGGTTTTTGGGACTGTCAATGTCTGAAAGATTAATGTGAATCAATAACCACTATCAACAAATGATAAAAAGTCAAATTTGAACCCATGTCCGGGGAGGTGAGGCTATGCACTTTCTGTTCTTGTGGTTTCCCCATCTTGTTATGCTCTTGCTGATGGCCGATTCTTTCATGGACATAGACCTCCTCTCCACTGAGGGTCTCCTGGAGCCTCAAGGAGGCAGCATAGGAGAAGAGAATGAACATTATTAGACGTAGCGTCAGAAGAGCTAGTTCTAGTTCCATTCCACAGAGGCAGAGGGGCAGGCGCAGCCCAGTGCTGGAGCCAGGCTGCAGGCACTTAGTCACAGCTCTGCCACCAGCCCGCTGCGGTGCTGACAATGCAGTTGCTTTTAGAGGTGCCCCATTTTCCTCATGTGTAAAATGTGTAGTTAAGGCTGGTTGTACTTCAAGCTTCCTTTGAGCACTAACATTCCATGCCTCTAATTTAATAAATTAAACTTATCTTGTGACCTTGGATAAATCAATTCATTTCTGTGTTTGAATTTCTTATCTATAAAATGGACCTGTTAATAGTTGTTGTAAACGGTTGCTTTGAAATCCAAGACAAATATGTCTCATAAAATGGGGCTTTGAAAATGTTACAGTGTTTACAGAGCTGAACCCATACAGGAATTTAAACATTCATTCCACACTTCAAAGTATCATCATGGACAATGATACATTCTGCTTCCATTTCTTCCATAGCAAGAATGGAGATAATAATAGTGCATGTAGAGTTGCTGTATTATATGGGTTAACAGCAAGTAAAGATATTAAGATACTTTTTGGCACAAAGTAGATGCCTAAAGATTATAGCCAAAACAACAACAAAACCCCAAAACAACCTGCTATGGTCCATTCTGACTTTTAATGACCCTCTGGCAAGTTTCCAAGGCTATTCCTATTAATGGGAGCAGATGCCCATTTTTCTCCATGGAGCAGGCCTGGTGGGTTCAAACCATGGAGACAGCCAGTCTTTGTGTTAGCAGAGCAACATGCTATGTATGGCCTATGCCAGAGAGCTCCTTAATGACGATGGGCTATGCTATCCATGACATGATTTGGTTGTTTTTAGATGCAAGAGAGTATATTCCTCCATATCATGCACTCAAAGCTCAAAAGTTATTACTTACAGAGTTTGTCAGTCCCGCTGTATATATCCTAAAGCAGGAAGTCTTAGCTGGGGTGACTGGCACTAATTGGAGGCTTTTGATTGTCAAGACTAGGGATCTAGTCTGTAAAACCTCGAGATGCTGCTAAATATCCTATAATGATCAGGATACCCTCTCCCACCACAGAAAACTGTTATTGTTGTTATGTGCTGTTGAATTGAGTATGACTCATAGTGACCATATGAACAACAGATCTGAACCCTGTCATACCCTGTGCCATCCTCATAATCTCTGACACACTGAGCCCATTGCAGTAATCACTGTCAATCCATCTGGTTGAGGGTCTTCCTTATCCCAAACCTATAATACTGAGGTTGTGAAACTGCACCCTAGAACTTGAGGAACATACTAGATGGGTGTCTGACACAGGTCAAGTGATCTGAGAGATGAGAGTGTAGCTGACTGTTCTGGTACAAAGCAATAAAATGCCGCAGTATAGCAAAAGACCTGTACATCCAAATGAGTGAATAAAAGATGTGTGAGTTTCCCATGAACCAGATGGGAAGGTCCAAAGAGGGGCGACCAGGAATCATTTTAGAAGGTGCCCAAGAGAATCACCTGCAGGAGTGAGGTGACTCCATTAAAAAAAAAAAAACCAAAATGTTGGGGAGCATGTGATTAGGAGGAAAGATGCAATTATTCACAGAAGCACTACAGTGAGACACCCAAGAAGGGTGTCTCAGAAGAACTCACTGAATTGTTGTTTTATGAGAGAAATAGTCAGCTTAATCATGTGCTGGGCCCCATGGAATGCTCAAGCCATCCGTAAGACCCTCCATGAACCATCATGTCTTTCCATTCCTGACCTGTTACCTCTCCCCCCTCCCAGCTTCAGCAAACCATAACTCACTCAGAAACTTCAGATAACAAGATGGGAGAGGAGGGTCTGAAGGACAAGGATGGAAAGACAAGGGAAGCCCACCACCTCTCCCTTTCCACTTCAGGTGGTTCACCCTCAAACGACTCGAGATGATGAAGAGGAGTTTTCACTTCCCATAATATATGTACCATTACATGGAAATGCATGCTTTGATCATTAAAATGGCACATTTTGGTGATTAAAGGTGACTTGAGAGATCTTTATTTTTAGCTAGTGAAATGTTATGATCACTGTCTACAACGTTCATCCAAAGAGCAGAAATCAAAATGAGTCACACAGAACAGAACGAGTCTGTTTAAATGAGCAAGAAAGGAGAACAGGGCATTTTGGAATCTCAGCTCAGCGGTCAGCCTCTTCAGCATACGGCTACCTGCACACTCCTCATCCTGTCCCTTGTCAAGGTGAAGCATTTCATGTGTTAATAGCACAGAAGATGCAAGCAGAGGAAGAGCAGGGGCCTGTGGGCAATAACTATCAATCGTTAAAGGCCAAAGCTTGGACACCACAATATTCGAAACTCATTTTAAGAGAAGCCATTAAAAGGAGGTGAGGGGTGTATAGTTTACTACAGAGGCACATCAACCTGCTCTTCCATAAAATCTCTCTTCCTGCCAAGGTCAGGGAAAGAAAGGCCATCTAGAGAAGCCGTAAAGCTAGAACTGACACTGATAACATGTGTGCCAGTACCTGTTGGGGCCTTGGTGTCAGCTTTCCTGCTCTCCCGGCTCCCCTTCTGCGCCCACACATACACCTTGTACTCCACGCCCGGCGCCCACACATGCACCGTGTACTCCACGCCCGGCCTCAGGCCCGTCAGCTCCGTGCTGCTCTGATCCTTCCCCACCGGGACCTCCTTGGTCTCTCCGTCGGCAGAGGTGTAGCGCACCATGTACCGGTCAATGACGGCCTGCACGGGGTCCCAGGACACGGTGGCTGTGTTCTCTGTCACGTGGTCCATCACCAGATTTTTGGGGCTGTCAATTTCTTTGATAAGATATTTGGAGAAGCATAAGTTGGAAAGCTGTGGAATATAAACTCACATCCCCTGAGCATGATCCTCATGTTCTAGAACTCTCTCACCCAAGGCAATTGCATTCTCGCCCTGAGTCTCAGTTGGCAGTTGAGGGAACAAGCAAACCACTGGTTGTTGGTTTCAAAGGACTAAACCACCATAAACATGAGCTTCCCTCTTGGCTCACAGCTCTCTAGAGCGTGGAAGCAGTAATGCCTGCAGAGCCGCATCATCGCACATCAGAACCACACGCAAACATCACCCCCCATGACAGACAAGGCTTCATTTATTAATGTTATCAAGGGCTACCGGTGAGCATTGTAAAAATATTACCAACCCCACACAAAGATGTAATAGATTTATTCTTAATTGGCAAAAATTGGAAGCTAACAAGATGTTCTTCAACAGGTGAATGGATAAAAAAACTAAGGATGTACATCCATTCAGTGGTGTCATTTCTAAAAAAAAAAAAATTGAGCTCTTTCACCACAAAAATACACCAGGGATGGATGTTTGGGTTGTTTCCATGTTCATGAGATAGTGAGTAACACTGCTATGAATATTGGTGTACAAATCTCTGTTTGTGTCTCATTTCTAGTTTTCTCAGGGTATATTCCTAGCAGTGGGTCATACGAAATTTCTATGTGTAGCTTTTTGAAGAAACGCTAAACTGCCTTCCAGAGTGCTTGTACCATTTGACAATCCCATGTATGGTATATGAGAGTTTCTGTCTCTGTGCATCCTCTCACACAGCTATTGCTTGCTGTCCTGTTAAACTTTGCCACTGCTACTGGGGCAAGACAGTATCTCATTGTGGTTTTGATTTGCATCTCTCTTATTGACAATGATTTTGAGCATTTCTTATTGTGGCTGTAGGTAATTCAAATATCTTCTTCTGTGAAAATCTTTCCAAACGGATTTAGAAATTGTGGTATAGTCACACAATGGAATACTATGCAGCACTCAGAAGCAATGATTTCAAAAAATACTCAATAATGTGGGAGAAACTGGAAAGCCTCATGCCAAGTGAACTAACTAGTCTCAGAAGGACAAATATTGCATAAGGCCATTATTGTAAAAATGGAAGGGTAAAAAAAAAATAGAAGGGTAACTATAGTAAGATGTGCATGAAAGTCCAAGGCAGGGGTGTTAGGCGAGCTGAGGAGAGGGGGTAAATCACAGGGTCACAGAGTTTGGTGGGTGGAGAGAGGGTGCAATAATTGGGAAAGATCCAGTAGGAAAAAGTGGGGTAATGGTGGGCATAGATCAATAGTGATTCATTTTATAAAACACAATGTATGGGAATGACTGTATGAAAAATGTGAAGGAAGGAATATATGAAATACAATGCATACAAATGTTGTATGCAAAGCACAATAAAAAAATTTTTAAAGACAATCAAACAACAACAACAAAAAAGACACCGGGGAGCCTTAGCATACTGTGTGATCTGACCACATGGCATTCTGGGAAAGGCAAAACTGCAGAGACAGTGGAAAGATTATTGGTTGCCAGGGACTCAAGGGAGTGGAAGAGGGATGGGTGAGTGATGCTCAGGCCATTTTAAGGGCAGCAAAGCTATGGTGAATGTGTGTGACCTTAATCATCTCAAAACCCAGAGTCTGGAACACAAAGGACGAGCCCTAATATAAACTATAGACTTTGCTTAGAAATAGTGTATTAGTATTGGCTCATCAGCAAGAAGAAACGTACCATGCCAGTGCAAGACGTAGCTTCTAAGAGAAACCGTGTATAAAGGGGATGAACTAGGAGAGTGACATGGGAACTTTCTGTACAATTTTTCTATAGACCAAAAATTCTGCTAAAAATAAAGTGTACTCAACAAAAAAAGTACCATATGCAATAAGAGGACCAGCTCCTTTAAAAATCTTTGATGAGTCTAATGAGACCATGACTACTGCAAGTGATAGCTCCCTTCTGGTGCACTGAGCAGTTTCACTGTCACCACAACAACTATAGCTCACTGTCTTTCTTAACCTTTAAGACTTGCAACTGCAAACTTCCTTGGATCAGGCTACATCTCATGGGAGCATGCACACCCAACCTACAGGCTCAGGCTTCACTTCCAATGTACCCTCCCTCAATGACTAAGAGAGTTACCAGTTCTCTTCTGTTACCTGTCGGGGCCTTGGTGTCAGCTTTCTTGCTCTCCCGGCTCCCCTTCTGTGCCCACACATACACCTTGTACTCCATGCCCGGCCTCAGGCCCGTCAGTTCCGTTTTGCTCTGATCCTTCCCTACTGGGACCTCCTTGGTCTCTCCATCAGCAGAGGTGTAGCGCACCATGTACCGGTCAATGACGGCCTGCACGGGGTCCCAGGACACGGTGGCCGTGTTCTCTGTCATGCGATCTGTCACCAAGTTTGCTGGGCTGTCAATTTCTTTAAGAAAGAGATGAAAGAAGAATGTAGCATTACCAACATCCAGGTGCTGGAGAAGAGTCTTGAACATACCATGGACTGCCAAGAAAACAAATAGGTCTGTCTTAAAGAATGTGAAACCAAGTCTCTCCTTGTAGGCTAGGATTTTGAAGCTCCATCTCACATACTTTGGGCATGTGGCCAGGAGAGACCAGTCCTTGGTGAAGGACATCATGCTCAGAGGGTGGACAGACAGCACAAGACAGGAAGATCCCAGATAAAATGGATTGATACAGTAAGTAGGGTGATGGGAGTTGGTGTGTCAGAGTCAGTGAGACTGGCTCAGGACAAGGCAGGCTTTACAGCATCATATGAGTTGCAGGTGACTTGACAGTATGTAACTACAACAAGAGTCCTGAAAAGAGGGCTCTGGTGGCCTAGTTCATAAATAGTTGCACGGCTAACCCAAAGTCCTCCTGTCTTGGGTGGGTAAAATGCATATGCAGTTCTGTGGGAGAAAGGTGAGCAATCTCCCATGGGATTTGCAGCCTCAGGGAGCTCGATGGAGGATCGGCTATGAGCTGGTTTCTGCTCAATTGCAATAAGTGTGAGTTTCTGAAGAATTTTTGGGTGGTGTAAAGTGTTGACACATTAAATTGCTAACAAAAAGTTGGAAGATTAAGCCCATCCAGAGGTAATTTAGGGAGCTCCAGTGGCTTAGTGGTAAAGTGTTGTGCTGTCAACCCAAAGGCACATTGTTCAAATCCATCTGCTGCTCCATGGGAGAAAGATGGTCTGTCTCCTCTTGTGAAATTTAGTACCTTTGAAAACCTGCTGGAGGGTCAGCTATGGGTTGGTTCTGACTTGATGGTACACAACAACAGAGGTAACTTTGAAGAAAAGTCAGAGTTAATACGAATTCAAACAATTTCAACAGCAATTGATATGGTAGAGCTCCTAAAAGGAGAGTAGAAACACAGTCCAAATGATAACTGGAAGAGATTTCAAAGTCTGATAGACACCCAAGATTGGAGTTACTTTAGAGTTTGATTAAGCAAGTAATCCAAAATTCCATACATGAGGTAATAGCTTTTAATGAGTAAGGTTTTCAGACAAAGCCAACATTTAGTCTCATCTCTACTAAACTTTTCTCACTGGCTGTCTTTGGATAAGAGGATTTGTTCTTCATATACAAATTTCTCCTTTCCACTGCATTTAGACAGTACACTCTTTCAGCTCTTGACTCTTTGTACCTCAAAGCAATTCTATTTCAGTACATGTCTGCATCAGCTCTAATATGTTCTTTAGGAAGAAAAATATCCCGGGAGTAGAAGCTGTCAGTTCTCTCCCTATAAAGCATATGTCTGTGGCCATGGAACCAAGAAGCTTTTAAATTGATGGTATTTGAGGTCTGGGCTGATCAAAATAATCATACTAATAAAACCTGTCTAGCTTTCTATGTGATTACACTGTGTCAGATGAAATGATGGGTCTCATCATTTCCTGGTTGGTGATTTTGGACAAGCAATTTAATTTAAGTCTTGGTTTCCACAACTCTATGAAAAGGAAAATATCATCATCTGTTTTCTAGGTTATGGTACACAGTAAATGAGACATTGCATAGTAAATGCCTAAGTATGAGCTAGTTGTGATGATTAATTTCATGTGAGGCATGAAATACTATTTTCTCCTTTGTAAACTCATAAAGAGAAATACAGGGGGATGCACGAGTGTTATTGTTGTTGTAAGTATCCTGTTTCTCCTCCACAAAAGGCTGAGCCTACTGGTCTAGTGGTTAAAGAATTTGGCTGCTAACCAAAAGGCTGGCAGTTCAAACCCACCACCCACTTGAGGAAGAAAGATGGGTCAGTCTGCCTCCGTAAATATTTACAGCATTGAAGCCCTATGAGTGGTTCAATTCTGTCCTACAGGGTCTCTGTGAGTCAGAATTGATGGAATTGCTGTGGTTCTGTTACAGGAGCTGCTCTTCAAACCTACCCACTATCTCTTAACCAAGCATGACCTCATGGCTTTCCCAGTTCAGGTGAGCATTGTATGGACAAGTGTGGTAACTAATCTTACAGCACAGTTGCTCAAAAAGCACCACAGACATCTGACACACAATAATTTCACTCCTGGGACTCAGTTGATGTTACAGATTAAACTGTGCCCCCTAAAACTGATATTAAAATCTGGGCTCCTTAACCTCGGAAGCTGATCTTATTTGTGTTTTCCTGTTGTTATTTAATGGATTTGTACTAGAGCTGGAGGGGTGCCTGAGTTATAAACACAACAGAAATGACACAGAGACATGTGAAGGGGCAAATGTCACATGAAGACTCATTTATAAGAAAAGGTACATTAAGGGCAACCAATTAAGTACCAAAAACTGGGATAATGGCTTATAGATGGGATCAGCATCGCCAAGACCCTGAATTTGAAATTTAACCTCTAAAAACTGTAAGAAAATTAATTTGTATTCTTTAAAGGTACCCCTTTGTAGTATTTCTGTTATGGCAGCAGCAGCTAGCTAAGACAGAGACCTTTAATACTATAGCCCCATCTTTCACCACTCCACCACCTACCCACTGTATAAACCACTGAGCTTCTCTCCCTGTCACTTTGACAGCTCATCATGAACGTGTGCTGCCCCTCACGCTGACTCCATCCACACTCTGAATATCCTGAACAAGGAGTCACCTCTTCTCTCAACTCTTCTCCCATGTCTGTGTAAAGCAGCTTCCCTTTTCCAGGTTCCCACATCACTAAGAACATTCTCTACTTTAGAATATCGCTCAATGTGCTTTGTGTTCTCATTTATCTTCTCTAACCAGAGAGCTGTGAACTTCAGATGAGCAAGTGCTATGTCCTTCATATGGACACCCCTAGAGTGCCTGGCACGGGCATCAATCAATATCACCACCCAGTGGCTTCCTATGGTAGCGGGTGGTGAGGAGAGGGAAAAGGTCTCCAGTCTGATTCCTTTTGTCTTAAAGAGACAAAATGACAGGCCAATTCTCTTTCCAACATCACGATCCTGTTGAACAGAAAGCTCTGTGGAATTTAAATTATTAATTAGCAATCTATTATTAATTGCTCGGCTCCACAGTCAACACTCTTGGCACCAGTAGCCAGGAAATAAAAAAACATATTGCGATAGGAGTCTGCGGTTAGGGACCTCTCTAAAGTACTCAAGAGCAGCAGTGTCTCTCTGGACACTAAGGTGCGCCTGATACAGGCCATGGTTTTTGCAATCACTTGTTATGCATCAGAGAGTTGGACAATGACTAGGGAGGATAGAAGGAGAATTGACGCCTTTGAGCTGTGGTGCTGGAGAAGAATATTGAATGTACCATGGACTGCCAAGAAAACAAACAGATTCATCCTAGAGAGGGTTAAACCAGGCTGCTCCTTGGAGGCAAGGATTCTGGGGCTTCGCCTGACATACTTTGGACATTGTTGTAAGGAGAGACAGGTCTTTAGAGAGGGACATCATGCTGGGTAGAGTGGAGGGACGGCGCAGGAGGGGAAGACCCTCTATGAGGTGGATTGATTCAGTGACTGGGGTAATCGGGATGGGTGTGTCAGAGGCAATGAGATTGGCACAGGATAGAGCAAGGTTTAGGGTGGTTGTACATAGGGTCACTATGAGTCGCAAACAACTCGATGGCACATAACAACAACAACAACAACAACAAATTATTAATTACCAAATCTTCTTACCTGCTCTTGTAAATAAAATTTTATCGGAACAGTCACATAAAATCTATGGCTATTTCACACTTTGGTAGCAGAGCTGAGTACTTATATAGAACTATGGCCCACAAAGACAAAAATATTTATTATCTGGCCCTTCACAGAAAGTTTATTGATCCTAATTTTGCACATAGTGAGATCTCACCATCATTATTATTCCTTTTCCTCCCTACTCTGGATAAAGTGTCACCGCTAAGACTCATCTATATCTTGGAAATTGTGAACCATAAAATATTTCAAGAGAGAAGTGTTGATTAGCATATAAGTCATTGCCACTGCAGCAGCCGTCAAGTGCTCTGCTGTTAACTGAAATGTCTGCGGTTCAAACCCACCAGCTGTTCTGCAAAGGAAAGGTCTGTTGACCTGCTTCTGCCAAGATTTTAAAACATCCACTGTCATTAAGTCGTTTTCACTCATACCAATGCCCCCATCATATTTCTGATACTAAATGTTTACAGGAGGAGAGACTGACCATCTTTCTCCCTCACAGTGGCTGGCGCACTGGAACAATCTGCCTTGATTAGGACCTCAATACATTATGAACTACCCCTTGGAAACTCAACCGGGACAGTTCTAAACTCTCCTACACGGGCAGTATGAAGAGAAATCAACTGAATAGCAATGGGGTTTTGGTCTTGTTTTATCATATTTTTTTTAATCACTTATGCCTCACTCAGCATGCATCAGGCACTTCTCAAGAATTAGCTCATGTAATTTTCATAGTAACACTTGAATAGATAAGCTTAGATACTCTATTCTAAGTAACTGAGGAACAGAGGTGAAGTAACTTACCCAAAGCCACTCATCTAATAAGTGGTAGAAACAGGATTAAATAATGGTCCTAACAACTTTTCTAACTGCTTATCTGAGAGTCATTATTCTCCATGACTGTCCAGAACAGAAGCCAGCAATAAAGGACTTCCCCCGCGCCCCCATCTCTTGTGACTTCCTGTGAAGTGTTTTGAACCTTGAGAATGCTCCAGGATTAAAGTGCTCTGAATTAAGGGACAAAGTCAAAAGCAGAGGAGGATTTAAACAAAAAGGACGGCTAGGCTCTCCCTCAGTTATGCTTCAAGAAGCCTCCAGGCCTGAGGGTAGCAGAGCAATGAGGTGAAGTATAGGAACCCTTAGACTTTCTGAAAGCTTAAAGACAGACTCTATATTAGGTTAATGTTGACTCGGGATGTGACCATTTACACGGTCTGAAAGAGCCAGATGATACGCAAGGCGCCTGCACGGCTGCTGCAAGCTGAGATAAGCATTCAGATCCACTGTCAGCCAAATGTTTAGCATGTTCACGTCCAGAAATGAAAATGAGAAGGTATTACTCTACTCTGAGGGAGCTGCACATGGAACCCAAATAAAGATGACCATCCATCATGAATAAAAAAGATGGTCTCTTTTGTCTGAGGTAACAAAAGAAAAACATAAACCTGTAAGTATAAAAGTGTAAGTTGCTTTTGCAACCTTTTCTCTTCCTTCCTGAAAAGCTGACACCTCAGTGATTTAAAATCCGTCTCCTCCCTCCATAAAGAAGCCTGCTTTTGCTCTGGTCCTGCCATTACCTGTGAGGGCATCGGTGTTACCCTTCTTGCTCCCCTGGCTGCCTCTCTCTGCCCACACGTGCACTCTGTAGGCCTCACCGGGCTTCAGGCCCGTCAGCACGGTGCTGCTCTGGTCCTTGGGCACCGCCGTCTCCTTGGCCATCCCGTCAGCCGAGGTGTAGCGCACCACGTACTTGTCTATGACGGCCTGCACCGGGTCCCAGGACACTGCCGCGGTGTCTTCTGTCACTCGGTCTGTGACTACGTTGGTTGGACCATCAATTTCTTCAGAAAAACATATAAGAAAGTAAACATTAGACTATACATGAATGTTGAGTGCCGTTTTATTCATTCCTACCCCAAATGGAAAGCAACGAACTTGTCCTTCAAGAGGTGACTAGAGAAACAAACTGGGGTTCATCCAGACAATGGACTGTTTTTTTCAGCAATTGAGGAAAATGAGCTCCCAAGATACAAAAAAGGCAAGGTGAAATGTTAGATGCATACAGCTAAGTGTAAGAGGGAGCTTCAGTGATGTCATTCATAGGGAGTTCAGTTGCCAACCCAACGGTGCCATCTCTCTGGCCATTTGAATCTATCAGAGACTCAGGGGAGAAATATGGGCAATTTCCTCCCACACTATTTACAGTCTTCAAAAACCTACTGGAGGGTTAGCTATTAGCTGGTTCAGACTCGAGAGCAATAACTCTGAGTTTAAGTGAAAGAAGCCAGTTTGAAAAGCCTAAGCACTGCATGATTCTGACTCACCATGGACTGCGTCACCTCTGGCAGCACAGTGCACAGTGTTAGCTCGGCTAACCCAGAGGCTGTGCATCGCGGTGGTTAGAATCCACCAGTGGCTCCGGGGTGGGGAGACGGGCAGTCTCCCATCAAGATCTAAAGCCTTGGGTCACTGCAAGTCACAGTGGATGGACAGCACCTAACAATGATGCCACTACAACTCAAAATCATCCATGCTTCTTCAGTTATCCTTACTCAGTGTTCAACTTCCAGACGCATCTCAGAATCATTGTCTGACTTTCTAGCCTTTGGTTGTGATGCTGGAGAAGAGTACTGACTATCTCATGGACTACCCAAAAGAACAGAGAAATCTGATTTGGGAAGTGCAGCCAGGATACCCCATAGACGTAAGGATGGTGAAAATGCATCTCACATGTTCATGCTGTCAGAAGGGGCCAAAGGCTGGAAAACCTTAAAGTCAGGCCAAACTTTCCCCACTTTTTGCAAAAAGACAAAACATTTTATACAAGTATAAGACATATTCTGAGTCCAGTATTTATCTGTGCTATATATAGTCTTCAATATGAATCGAAGCTCAACGTCAAGAAAACAAAGATTCTCATCAATGGGCCAACAGGCAGCACCATGATGGTGGAGAAGGGATTGTGGTTGTTAACAGTTACAGCTTGCTTGGCTCCATAATCAACACTCTCAGCACCAGAAGTTAGGAAATCAAAAGACAAATTGCATTGGGTAAATCTGCAGGACCTTTCCAGAGTACTGAGAAGCAATGATGTCAGTCTTGAGACTAAGGTGTGCCTGATCCAGGCCATGGTCTTCACAGTTACTTGCTATGCATCAGAAAGCTGAACAATGACTAAGGATGACAGAAGAAGAATCAATGCCTTTAAGTTGTACTGGAGAAGAGTCTTGAGTATACCATGGACCACGAAGAAAACAAACAGGTCTGTCTTTGAGAGGGTGAAGCCAAATTTATCCTTGGAAGCTAGGATTTTTAAGCTCCATTTCACATATTTTGGATGTGTGGCCAAGAGGGACCAATCCTTGGAGAGAGATATCATGCTTAGAAGGGTGGAGAAACAATGCAGAAGAGGAAAATCCAGGATGAGATGGATTGATATAGTCATTAGGGCAATTAGGGTTGGTGTGTCAGAGTCAGTGAGACTGGCTCAGGACAGAGCAGGCTTCAGAGCTATTGTACATAGGGTCTCTGTGGATCGCAGGTGACTTGATGGTTCATAAAAACAACAACAATGTAGATTTCATATGTAATTTAGTCTTTCAGTCAACATACCAACTTTATTTCTAGTTTGTTATCATATGTGAGTTTAATAAGTCATCGGAACACATCCACCAAAATCACTGACAAGAGTTATTATACAGGCTGAAGGTGAAGTCCACAAGAGCCCTTCCTACATAGAGAGCTGTGTCCTTCAGTATAAAGACTTAGAGCAGTGGCTATATGCTAGGCTCAGAGAGGATAGAAAACTTGCTCAAGATTTCAGTAAATGAAGTACTCACTGACTCAGTCCACAAGTATTCACTGAGCACACTGAGTTCACAAACACTCATCAAGACAAAAAAGTTTCTGCCTCTCAAAAACCAAAGAATATTCCTTCCATTCTATGACGTTCATGCTCTCTTGTTCACAAGTTCTCCAGCTGAGAAGTCTAAGGTAGTTGTATTTATTATTATTATTAATTATTATTATTATTAATTACTTACACAGTATTTTTAAACATTATAATACATTTTTATTGAGTGCATTGGCAGTGCTGTATTTGTGTGCAAAGACATAAAGTACTTTCCAGATTCAAAGGCAGTACACAGTTGGTTTAATAAATTAACTGCCATGTACTGAGCAACTGTTCAATGCCAGAAGCTCATCCCACCTCACAGTAACTGCTCCAGGCTTTTCTCAGAGCCTGCATGTTCCTTTGTTAACAGTAGTCAAGTTACTCCCAACATATGATGACCCTAAGCACAAATGAATGAAGAGCTGGTCAGCCTTATGCCAACCTCACAATAAGCTGAAGATTGGACCATTATTATCTGTTGAGTTTCTACCTGATTTTTGGCAGCAGATCACCAGGCCTTTCTTTCTAGTCAGCCTTACTCTAAAAGCTCCACTGAAATCTGCTCAGCATCCCAGCAGCACAGAAGCCCCTACTGACATACACCTAAGTGACAGCTGCAGTGAGGTGCTTTGGCCAGGAATCAAACCTGTTTCTCCAGAAGATGAAAACTCTACCCCTGAGCCTCTGCTACTCCCACTGTCCATGTATGAGTTGGCAACATTTGTAATGACTACAACTTTTAGAACAGTGGCTAAATTCCAGGTTCAGAGAGGATAGATAACTTGCCCAAGGTTTCAGTAAATGAAGTACTACGCACTGGATCAGTCCACAAGTATTCACTGGGCACATGATTCAAGTCTACAAACATTCACTGAGCGCATACTAAAGCATTGTGTAAATTAAATTAGCAGAGCACTCAGAAAAATTCTTCTTGAAGAAAGGGCAAAGTTGACACATACACACACACAAAAAAAAAGTTATATGCAATATCCCTGACCTCACTGGAATTGGTTTTGTGCTGTTGATGCTGTTTACAAGGACTGTTCCCCTTTAACGGGTTGGTAAGGGTCAGACATGGCCATCTTCACATGACTCTTGCTCTTTTTATTGTTGTGGTTGTTAGGTGCCATCACATCGAGTATGATCCATAGTGATCCAATGAACAAAAGATGTGAACCTTGCACTATCATGTACCATCTTCACACTTTCTGATACACTAGAGTCCATTGCAGTAGTCACTGTGTCAATCTACCTGTTTGAGGGTCTTCCTCTCCTTCACTGACCCTCTGCCTTTTTAAGCATCATGTCCCTCTCCAAGGAATAGCCCTCCTAGTAATATGCCCAAAGTATGTGAGATGAAACTTTATTATTTTTGCCTCCAAAGAGCACTCTGGCTGCATTTTCTCCAAGACATATTTGTTCTTTTGTTAGTCCATGGGATGTTCAGTGCTCTTCTCCAACACCACAGCTCAAAGACATCAATTTTTCTTCTTACACACTCTGCAGCTCTCAGATGCACAGCAAGTGATCCCAAAGACCATGGACAACTCTCTGGTCAACATATTGGAAGAGGTCCATATTTGTTTCTATTTCCAAGAAAGGGGATCCCACAGAATGTGGAAACTACAAGCCAATATCATTAATATCACATGCAAGCAAAATACTGCTGACGATCATTCAAAAACGGCTGGAACAGTACATAGATAGGGAACCGCCAGAAGTTCAACCAAGATTTAGAAGTAGCCGTGGCACCAGGGATTGCTCTTTTTACATAAAGGATATTTAATACACATACCATGGACCAACTACAGAATAAGCAAATCTATCCTGAAAAAAGTGCTCCTTACAGGACAGAATAATGTCTCACATACTTTGGGCATTTTATCAGGAGGCGCCAGTCCCTAGAGAAGAACATAATGCTTAGGAAAGTGGAGGATCAGTAAAGGAAAAGGCCTTAATGCAGTGAGTGGAGTAATTGGTGTCAGCACAGCAGAGACTGTGGGGATCAGGCATGATTTTGTTGTGCTGTACCTGGGATGACTATAAATTGGCGATGATACAACAGCACCTAACAACAACAATCACCCTTCTTCAACTCACATTCTGCTGAAAGAGATCATAAACAGGTAAAAACATAACAGATTTGGTGATAATAGTATTATGAAGTAAAATATGACAAGGCAAAGGGATTAGAGACTGTTGAGCAAATTATTACTTATCATTTTAGACAAGGAGTTCAAGAAGGAATCTCATTGAGAAGGTAACATTTGAATGAAGACCTTATGAAATGTGATCGTCAGTCATGTGCTATCTGAAAAAACTTCATTCCTTTGCTCGTACAGAAGCAACAACAAGGTCAAAGGATTCAGATGCTCAGGTACTAAGAAGTCAGTGTGTCTGGACTGAGTAAGTGAGGGAATCAAGTGGCTAGATGTGAGGCCAACAGTGAGCAGAGAGTACATCATGAAAGGCCTTGAGACTATTGTGCTGATTTTTGCTTTTGTGGTGAATAAGGTGAGAAACATCTGGAAGTTTCACACAGAAAAATGACACAATTTGACTTGTGTTTTAAAAGAATCCCTCTGGCTGCTGAGTGGAGCACCAACTACATCAGGTCAAGAGTAGGGAACATCCAGGAGGTTGCTACACCAGTTTATGTGAGAGCTGACCGAGATGGAGACAATTGTAGCAGAGATGAAGGTCATGAGAAAGGTCAGAGTGGGGAAATTTCAAAGATGAAGCTGTCAAAATTGCTGATGGATTCTATACGGAATACAAGGACTTGTTGGTTTGGGTCCTGAGCTGAAGGATAGAAAGAATATTGTCAAAGATGTAGAGGTTTGAAAGAGGAGAGAGTTGTAAGCAGTGGTGGTGGGGGGGGGAGAGCCTGGTTTGGGATATAGTAGAGCCAAGATAAGAACCCATTCCTATCTGTCAAAAAAACAA